TGGTGTGGGGGGAACCGAGGGGGTGGGAGGGGAGAGTTTATTCCGTGTGGAACAGCATCAGCTCAGGCAGCTGAACACCGCTGCGTGGGTTGTAGCAATCGTCCACCCAGGCCAGGGAGGCTGCAGCACCGGAGTGGCAACAGTACCTCACCAGATAACTGACAGACACATTTACGCTTTGTGACACTGAGTGGCAAGTGTTTCTCAGTATTTCAGTGACTATTTAAAGAAATTTGGTTTGGCTTGAAAAGAGCTTTTCTCTTACTTGGTGCAGCTGTGTGGAAAGGCTTGTACTTCTGTTTTGAGAACAAGTATCCTGCTTCCTACAGTCTAGAACAGTGACAGCCCCTTCCCCCCACCCCGACCCCCAGGGGACTGGCTGGTAAACAGGATACTGCTGCTGTGTTTGTAAGGTAGCCTCTGGCTTTCCGAAGCTGTAGTTACGAGCACTTAACCGAGTTGCACGGGGCACGGCTTCAACTGGTAGCTTTGGCTGTAAACCCCACCCCCAACACAATTTTTTGTCAATCATTTTCAAAGCACTTCCTCCTTTCCCTTCTCCCAGAACAGCTGCTGAATTTGTTTTACCTGTCCCTCGTTTGCAATTCTCCTCCCAACCACAGAGGGCTACAAAATTTGTTGGTAACAGCCTGAGCGTGTCACTACAGTTAATTTATTTTTGAGAAACCATATGGGGGATCATCTGCTTCTCATTTAGACTTCACAAGCACAGGCTGAAGACCTCTGCTTTCTTTGGGCAAGAGCCTTCTTCCTGTCTCTTATTTCACTTCTTTAGCTCTCTTCTTAGGGGTTATGCTTGTACAGAAACAATACAGAACCTGCACTTCACTTAAATTCCTGTCAGCCAGAAATACATGCACAGGGGAGAAATTCAATGGGTTTGTGCTTCCTGCTTAGACTAAATGTGTTCTGGGAGCACACGCAAACAAAGTGTAAGGATTCCTAGAGAAAACCCATTTGTTTCAGACTCATGACAACTTCTTTGATTCGGAACAGTCCTGTGTGGAGATGGGTTTTCAAATTCAAGGTCAGCCTTGAACATCTGTCTGATGCAGTTCTGAACGGTACAGCTTCACCTCCACATACAAATACACAGGTCAGATTCGTGTAATACCGAGTTCTCTGTGATTTGCGTCACTTCTCATCAATTCTTTTCATTTGCTGTCCAAAAGTAGTGGCTGTGAAAAAGATGATGCACAGTGAAGTTGTGCAAAAATCCAACAGCTTTTGCACTCAATTCTGACCAGCTCAAGAGCAGGTTGTAAAACTCGTATTTTTAATGGCAAAATATTTCAGAGCTCAGTTTGTCAAAATCAGCATCTGTGATGTCTTGATTAAACCTGCGTCCAGCTGTCAGAGATTTCTGGAAAGGCAGGGATATATTGCTTAAATAATTTATTTCTCCAGCAGGTCTGTTTGCTATGTTCTCAAAGTATCAGTCGTATTTTAAAACCAAAGCACTACAAGAAAGAGGGAGGATTATGTTCTGAACTAGAAAGTTAATTTCTTTTGAAGGTATTGCTCTGCTCAAGAGAGGGGGGCTTCCTTTCCTTCCTTTC